TCTGTGCTCCTCACTTAACGCTCACAATGCTCGTGGAATCATTTCCTTCTTGTCGTTTCAAATGTTAAACAAAGACAAACGATAATCGCGAGCGTGTGAGCATTATGGTATATTCATACAAACTTGCATATCTGCACAAACGTATGCATAAAGAAAATCGTCTAATCGTATTTTACGTTTGTGTTTTTTATAACAAAAATGTAATTGGATAATTTTCTTTTTATGCATATGATTATGCGGCTATGCAAGTTTGTGTGGAATAGCCCTTAGTGGAACGCAACCTTAGTCGCCATATTGATTCTGGTGATGCGAATGTATTGGAGCGCGTTGAGCATGCTGGTGCGAACAAACCTTTAAGCAACGTCTATGGATTCTTCCCCTCTGATACACGGCATTACACAGGGGCACTCGGGTGATATTTCCGAACGCAGCTGAACATGGCACGAATGCGAGATGCGACGAGTGCAGGCCTAAAATATAAACAATACGACATGTAAATTATATTATCGAATATCTCGATGGTTAACGGAGATGTACACATTGCTGCATGGTTTGTACAAGTATTTGATGCAAAAGGACGAGTACTTCATATTAATTTTAGGCCTCGACAATGCGGGAAAAACGGTAAGGCATTTTCGAACATTCCGAGGTTATAATGTTAGAACTGCAATTATCGATTATTTGTAGACTTACCTCGAGGCGGCGAAGACGAAATTCACGAAGAATTACAAGGGTATGAATCCGAGCAAGATTACGACTACTGTAGGCTTGAACATTGGCAAGATCGACATTGCTGGAGTATCTTTTAACTTCTGGGATCTTGGTGGTCAAGAGGAACTTCAATCTCTGTGGGACAAAGTAAATACGAAGGCATAAGCCTCTTTTGGTTTCAAAAAGTAGGCTTTTTTCATGATTTTTTTCTGGAACATATATATAAGCTACAATGATTGAATTTTTTATTAATGAAAGTACATATATTTTACTATTAATTATATTTTTTAATATTATGTTTCACTAAAAAATATTTTCTTAGGCTTTACATAGCATACAATATTTCACATTACCA